TAAGCTAGGCTCAGGAAACGGGGTTCAGTCTCTTTGCAAGGACTGCTGTGTGTTACGTCTCTATCACAAGGTGTGGGCCTTGCTCCTCCCCCTCCCCCTTCTTGACACAAGAACAGTGTTCTGCCATAAAACAGTTGGCCCATCTGACTGTGAGGCTCTCCCAGGAAAAGTCTAGTTCACAAAGATTTAACCCCGTGGATACATGATTAATTTATCTCTTCCCTTTGAATGTATTGATCCATTTGTCACAGGGCTTAAAAACATATTTGGGGAAAGAAGAATTAAAATAAAATAAAAAATAAAAAAACTTAACTAAAAAGGCTGAGCCAGCTCCAATAGGGAGGATTCTCATTACTCAATCCTTTCATTGTTGTTATCAATTATTTGTATTATAGAGCCTTCAAATTCCATCCAAGACCAGGGCCTCCTGGCGCTAAGCACTTACAGACATGTAGTATGAGGTATGAAAAGAGGTTGCAGTCTAAACAGACAATACACGTAAGGAGTAGAAGAAATGAGATATTAGTGTCCAATTTTATAGCTGGGGAACTGAGATGCAAAGAAAGGGAGGTCCTAGTCCTGCAAAGACTAACTCACATGGTTAACTATAAGAATGTAAGAAGTGTCATTGTCTTCAAACTTAGGGTATATCGATTCTTCTATCTGGAGGTGTAATTTTTGCAGCTCAGGGAGATAGCCAAGTTATCTCTGAAAGAGCTCACGCACTAAAAAGACATTGTAGCCATGGTGGTCCGAGTGGTGGGAAGGGCTAGCTGCTCTTCGTACGTAACCATCCGAGATTCTAGGTATATAGGGCAGCTAGCCCCTCCCTCCTCTTGTGTTGCCATGGCTACACTCTGTCTTTTTTAGGAGACACATTATAATCATTATTAATTTTTGTATCATATTTATTGGTGTAAAACGTAGTCAAATACGTTGCAGGATTTCGGTCATTCTATCAAAGGGCCAACCAAGCTAATCCAAACATGAATCCCCATGTTGTTGATTCTAAATCCAGGGTCAGAGAAGTATGGGAACAGTTTTCTTACCTTGATTTTGCTGCACATAGGCTGCCCCCTGCCACCTCCCATAAAGATGTATTGTGAAATCAGTGTAGAGCTGAGTTCACTGTTCCTGTGTCTTCTCCATGTGCTTTCAGATGGCAGCATGCATGGAGAGCAGCAGGGAGTGTACAGAGCATGGCAATGCAGAGCCCTGACTTTTAACTGGAGATAGGGGAATGGTTTAGCAAAAATAGCATCTTCATCCACACAAAACGTCTCAGAATTTTTGTTAAAAAAAATCAGACCTTTTGAAACCCTTTTAACATTATTATATGTCTCTGCATTATCTGGTTCAGGCTAGGACTGGAAAGAGAAATATCTGCATCCCAGGAGTGAGAATGAATTCATGGAAGTCTCAAGACAAACATACTATCCTGTTGCAATTTGCAGACCAGTTTTGAGATTCTGAGAAGGTAATTGGACTGGGAGTCAAGAAATTTGGGCACTGCTCCCAGCTCTGCCATTGATGTACTATGACCTGAGGCAAGTCAATTAAATTGTACCTGAATTTTCCCATCTATAAATGGATATAATTATAGTTAACTTACATTATAAAGTACTTCAGAGTCTGTGCAAGAAACATACTTTATAAATGCTAAGTATAGTGTCGCTAAATATTATCATAGAAAAACAAACCTGTTGACAGTCCACCACTATTCCTGATTTCTGTGCACATCTTCATGTGGAAAGATAGCCTAGGAGTAGGAGAGGAAGTGGTGAAGGGAAAAAATAAAAAATAAATGGGAGAGGAAAGGGATAGGGCAGAGAGAAAGTGAGGGGGGAATAACAATTGTAATACACCTCTACCCTGATATAACGCGACCCGATATAACACAAATTCGGATATAACGCGGTAAAGCAGCGCTCTGGGGGGCAGGGCTGCACACTCCGGTGGATCAAAGCAAGTTCGATATAACGTGGTTTCACCTATAACACGGTAAGATTTTTTGGCTCCCGAGGACAGCGTTATATCGAGGTAGAGGTGTATATGAAATATACAGCGCAAATTTGATCCCAAAGCACATTGGAAAAAAGAAAAGGAATCGGACAGAAAAGTAAAGAGAGAAAGGGACAGAGAAATGAAAAAAAAAATGCTCCACAAATGAAGAGAAGAATAAAATAACCAGCTGTCACAGAGAGAAAAATCTCAATTTAAAGGTGACAGGTGTGTACATTTGTTTTAAAGGGAAAGCTAGCCCATAAAAGAGATGTTTTTAGGTTTAAAAAGTAATTGCCAAATGTTTTCAGCAGTGCCTTTGAGCAGTGTTTCTTTTCAGTTCTCTTTAGTTTTTGTAAATTTTATTTAGCTTCATGCTGTTTCATTGCCGACACTCTGTCAGCTGTCACTGTAGTATTGAGTAATGTTGGCCCATCACTGCTTTATTGGCCATTCAATTTTTTGCCTTGCTGCGGGCAGGTTACTTATTATTAAGCAAGACAGACCATGTATGTCTGACTATGTGGCCACTTTGGTGACAGGATAAACTAACCCAGACTGATTTGCAACAGAGAGGTGGGCAGTTCTCTACCCAAGGTTATAGAAATAATTTTTAAAATGCAAAAGGTATGTAGCCACACAGGCAGCACCAAAGAGAACATCTTGTAGCATTTAAACAAACTTAAAATTCAACATAGAAGTCCAGCCACTGCTTTTACTGCTCTAGTTTCCAGTTACTTTATTTTCAACCTCATTAGGTGAAAACAATGGCATATGAAAAAGAGTGCTTCTCTGAACTAGGAAAGGGGACACATATAAGAATATTCTACTGAGTAAAAAAAAGAAAGATAAAATTACTCAGGTGAGAAAAAATAAGGTACGCTGTTGCATTTGGGGTTCAATATTGCTCTTACCAGCTCTGTCCCTGACACAGGTACCGAGGTCTCTAAATTAAGTAGAACAGGTGCAATTATGATGCAAAGGTTGGGGCAGGCTAGGAGAATTCCCACTCCCTTTATGGCAAAGTCCTATAGAGCTGAATAGTAGATAGACATTATGAACCGTCCTAAGGAAAGGAACAGAGAATGATTTCTTCTCTGTAGGATGATTCTAAAAACATATAGATTATCTTTTAAATTCTATACATTTTTAGAGTAATCTCTGTAGAAACATAATCGATGTTCAGTTCTGTAGGGCTTTTCGGCTAGGGCCCATGCAAGTACTATGCACCCTCTGCTGGGTGCTGTGGAGCTTAGGTCCAGAGGGGCTCACTGAACATCACTGTACAGAGGACAGAGGGGTTACTTTGAGGTGGGCGAGAGTGGATATACACCACTATATGGGCTCAGGTCATTGAGTCCACCCCCAAGAGCTGGGGTAGAGGGAGCTAACGAAACTTCTGTACAGCAGTTATGGCCACTTAGTAGCTCTGTTGCCAGTCTGCAACCTGGAAGCAGAGAAATGGCTTATCCTGGGGTCCAGCATATGGCTCTCGAAGCAAAAATTGTTTCTTTAGATCTTCTGCCTCCTGGGAGTGCTCCAGTTCCAGTAGAAATCAATGGAAAACTTTCATTGGATTAGGCCCTTTGTGTAAAGCAATGCTGAAATGACAAACATGGATACTTTCCTTTGGCATACTAAATGTATTGCTCATTATTACCATAAACTTCTAGAATCTTGATTACAGTGATTTTTTGTATAAAATGAACCACTACTTTGCCAAGGACACTGCTACCTCCTTTTGCCAGTTTAAGATCTGGAGGGAGCGATGGACCAACAAAGAAGTGCTAATTCTTGTTCCTTGTAATAGGAAGACTATGTCTTTGACAGCAAATATATTAATATCAAGCCATACCCTTATAGTAACTTCACCAGATCTCTGGTTGGGGATGGGAGCAGAAAGGATAGGGTCCCCCCATGGAATGAGCAGTTCCCAAATCCTGCAGAACCCCTGAGACCTCACTATTGCCAAACCCAAACATTCAAAAATCATGAATCAGGCTCACCAGGTATCATGAGATTAGGGTGACCAGATGTCCCGATTTTATAGGGACAGTCCCGGTTTTGGGGGCTTTTTCTTATATAGGCACCTATTACCCCCCACCCCGTCCCGATTTTTTACACTTGCTATCTGGTCACCCTACATGAGATTGGCTTAAAAATTAAAAGAGTTTTAAAAATAATAAAAGTTGTATTATTTTTATTTGTTTACTGGTTTGGGAGCCTTTAGGTTCATGTTTTCAAGCTTTTCTTTACAACCATGAGGTCTAGAACTCTTTTTTTTTAATGCAATGGGAGATACTGTCAATCACAGAAGTGCAGGATCTAGAGCTTTAACAAAATATGGCAAGAATTGGCAATACTGGAAGACCAGGGTCATTCACACAGAGGCCCCATGTAGTTCTGTACCAGCTTTGGAGCACACAGGGCCTGCCATCCCCAACATCTTCATGGCATGGCTAGCCTGCCCACTACAGTCACTGTGGAATTCCCCTGCAGAGGCTCTGTTTCGCATTCAACAGAGCCTGAAGTTGACAACAGGCTGGGATCACTTGGGACTGCATTGACTTGTAAGCAGATTCCTTACACTGTTGATCGGAGCATGATGCATACTTGCCCTGCCTTACTTGTGGATTCTGCAGACCGTGGTAGTGCCATCTAGGTGACACTCCTCCTTCCACCCAGAAAGCAGGAGATCAGGAGATGAGGAATCTTTCCACTTGCAGATTCATAGGGTAAGTTCTGGCCCTTGGCTCGGAAGAATATAATGATCCCTCAAGTTGAGAATGAAACTAATGGCATTCATGCAACCAGGCCTAGCCAGAGAGTATTAAAATGATCAAGTTATTGCTCCCTAATAAAACATGCAATAAAAAATTGCATCAGAATAAATATAAAAGCCCATTATTTCACTTTTCCTCAAGAGAGTGTTTAATGCAAATCCCTAATAAACAAGCAGTTTTAAAGTAGATACCAACAAACAGAAATAAAAGGCAGGATATTTTAAACTATTGCTTTTATTATAATTCCACTGGAGCACAAATAAATAAGCACTAAATTATTGTAAAATATTGTCAATGCACTAAAGAAAGCAGAATCTCCAAACAACATCTTATTACTTCAGAAGTATCAAAGTACAGTTAATTACATCTTACTTAAAAAAATCAAGTACAAAAATGAAAAGAAAATTATTATGTATTTATACTGTGTATATAGAAATGGTTAATAATATATGATTACACTTATCCTCTAGCTACTCCTTACTCCTACACAATTTCAGGCACATACCTGACATTTCTAATGAAATATGAAAAAAAAAGCCATATGACATTCAGTTTTAAGATATCGGTAAACATATTACATTGGAATGAACACAGAATGGTTTCTCCTTATTTAAAAACCCTGTAATTTAAAAACATAATGCCATAGTCCACTAAAAGAAAAAATACCATTTTATACCATTTGCTTTAATTTGTTAAAAAGAGCAATAAAAGTAAGCATACATTTGCTAATATACGTAAATACATTTTTAGTGCAAGAATAACAAGACCTGTGACTTTACTGTGCTTTCTTGAAATCACAGTGCACTTTACACAAATTGCTACACTATAATGTTTAACTTTAGGAATTTAAAGCAAAGTAAGTGCATACCAAACAATTTCATATATACAGTCTTCATAAGTGTGTGTATATATATGGCCTGTATGTATATACAGATTGCATATTTATATAACTGCAGCTTTAATGAGCGCATGTTGCCAAACACGATCATTCACCCTGTGATATAGAAACTGCTGAGACAATAGGGAATGTAGAAAATGTTTAGACAGCATTTTGATGGTATGTTCTCTGCAGTGAAGATGCACCTTTTACTCTTAGGCTGTGCACTCTGCCAAATGATAGTGTTGCCAAATGGTCAGAGCACAAGACAGGCACCTACTCCTAGCTCTGGCTTTGATTGGCTTTGACAAGTCACTCAACATCTCTGCTCAGTCTCACCTTCTATAAAATCTCACCTTCCTCACATAGGCGTGCAGTTTAATTCACGTTTCTAAAGTGCTTTGAAGATAAGTGCTAAGTTATATTTTAATTTTTCATGTGGCATCAAACAATAATAAATATAAGCTATTGTCTACATGGCATACAATGGTGGTCTGCAAGCATTTGGCTAATTAAGGGATGATGGCTATTGTGCTGAATTATATAAGCAAAACAATACGTGTTTTTTGTGGTAGTTTAAATGGTCACGCAAATCTGTTTACAACCAGAATGCTTCGGTACCATCATAATTATTCCTATATGTCAATATGAAAAGGATACTGTACAAACCTTGAACGGTTGTATATACAATTGTTTATACTTCCCCAAAGGTTTTGTAATTTTGCCTCTTTTGAAGGTTTTTCAAGATGTTCCCATTGGAGGCATGAATGTCAGTGATGAACAACTGCTCTTGGGGAATGTTTCGAAAGGGAATATTAACATTTTTAAAATGACTAATTGCTTAAGGAAGAAGCCAGTGTATACAAGAAGTATCATGATTGAACACATACATATGTATTGTCAATAGAGAGATTTGGTGCAGTTTGTGAAAGGGACCAAGTAAAAAAAAATTCTCACATTGATGATATGAAAGTCTTTTCTTGGCTTATAATTACCTATAACAAGGAAGATAATGCATTTCACCATTCTAAACATTTTCTGAGTAATGAACCTGTTACTTCAACATATTCTGCACGACCAGCAAGTCATTCTCTTTCCAGCAGATTCTGGAACATTGCAAGATCTCTTGAGTTTTTCTTCTGCCATTTTCTTTCTTTTTTGAAAAAAATGAGTAGGCAGAATATACAATTGGTGCCTTTTGGGTACAAAATTTATTTAAAGATTCCTTCACAATTTGTGGTTTTTATGTTTTCTATCATTTGGGTTGTGGGGGCATCTTTAAATTTTCATCTAAATTTTGTACCCATTTCAGCCACTGTATATCCAACAACACACACACATTTCATATATACAGCATATATATAAATGAGTGTGTCTATGTTTGCATATATGCACCTATACATATACACACACATGTAGCATAATGCTAATATACATACAAACATATAAACACACACTTCTTTGTTTATCTTATACAGAAATCCTCAATTTGGACATCAAAATATACATTAGTTATAAAATATTTAAAAACTTTATTATTATTTCAGAGGCTGGAAAGAAACTACTACTGATAAAGCATTACTCAAACTTTAGTAATATAGATTACAAAAAAACCTACTAAAATTGGTTATTTTTGGTTTTTTTGATCAGCAGTGATGCCCAGGGCATTGCTGCAATATAATTTCAAAGAAAAGCCAATATGACAATAAGTTCAAACAACACATTTTTTCTTCTCAGAGAATATAATTTTTAAAGGACTATTAAAGAGGAATTTTCATGCTGCCAAATTTCAGAAGCATAGATAGAACTTTACATATACAAAATATATGTGATAGCATTATTTTATCACTCCATGGCAATACGGATATTATTCACCCTAAAGCGTTTCTTTTAGAAGCTATTTTAATGCACAGCTCTCATCCTCATATGTAGTATAAGCCATCTCTTTCTCCTGTTAAAACCAAGAGGTCATAATTCTTTGGTCATGACATAGCATTCTTTTAGGATGGGTGTGATGTCACAGAGGACTATGACCCAATTATCTGATCAGCCAGGAACAGGAAATGGGTTACTTGAGAGAAAGGTGCTTTGTGGGTCTGATCCAAAACCAAGTGAAGCCAATGGGAGTCTTTCCATTGATGTCAAAGGAGTTTGGGTCAGGCCTTTTTTAATAATGCTTTCCAATTTGATACAGACCCAACTAGGGATGTTTGGGGTACTGTAAACAGATTTTGTTACCTTTACTTTCTGGACCAAAGACAAATGTGGACAGGAATCATGGGTGCATTGCCACTGTTTTAACCAGATAAACAATGGGTTAATTCATTATCATGTGATGTACAATTCTTAGTCACAGTGAACCATGGTCTCCTCTAGTCAGCTGAATAAAAGAAGGAAGAGCGTCTATTTTAGACCTTTCTGCAGTAAATTTTGTTTACTTGGTTAGCCAAATGTAGCCTAGGAACTATCACTGGAGACTTTAATAACTGATTGACATAAAAAGAAGGGCAATTTATAATAGTAAATTTACAAAAAATCTGATGCAGAACAACTCTTTTTTAATGCAATTTGGACATCCAAATTAAGCATTTTTATTTGCATTGTTTACAGTTTTTACTACTTCCTGCCAAAACCTTTCCCAGAAGAACAAAAGCAACGGATGTCTCTAATGAATATGACTCTAGTGAACTTCTACAGCCTTAGCACCAGGTTCATTTGTACATTGTACTTGTTAAACAAAAGTACAACCACATGCTTTTGTACAGAGGCCAAATTTAGGCAGGTAAGATCATTAAAAATGACAACAACAAAAAAAGAGCATTAGGATACCACATATAAAATAGTTAATAAAACAATATAACAGTTATATTATATAGTAAAATTCTTCATAAATTTTTGAATTATATATTTTAAACAGTGTATTAGTTCAGGTGTTTTCAATAGATTGGCAAAATATTTACATTTCAATATCTTCTGGATCCAAAAAAATCCTTAATAAATATACATGTCTTAATCAGCTGGAAATTTAGATTTTTCTTTAGATTGACAGGTGAGCACCACATTGGTATGTTTTTCACTAGGTAGTTCGTCACCTGCAGATTAAGTTTTATGTCACAGGCATTGCCTTATTAAGAAAGGAGGCTACTTGTGCATCTTGCAACATTGTAGTGATGGCATCAGCAACAGTCTGGTCATATCGCTGTGTCCCAGAAAACAGTTTGTTGTTTGGAATAAGGAGGGGGGCTGTATTTCTTGTTCCCAGTGTTCTTCTTCCAACTCGGCAAAATGGGCATGCTGTCCTGTTTGCAAAGTCCTTTTTCTGATTTCTGTCGAGCCTTTATTTCTTTGCACAAACAACGCTTTTTCTCAATCATTTCCAGCATTGTATGGTCCCCATGCAACCACTGCATACATGTCACCTATCAAAAAAATAACGCATACAAATAACTGCTTAGCCATAGATTACATTTAGAGTGTTGGCTCCTTGTGGTCACCATGATGTTTGTGAAACATTATCAATGGTTTTATGAACACAAAATCCTTATGCACTAAAAGGAATAAACACAAAAATCCACTTATATATACTAGACAAAGACATAAAAGAAAAAGAAAAATAATCCTTGTTAACATTGCAAGCCTAATGCAAGCTAATAAGGTAAATGTTTTTGCCAAACAACGGCTATTTATTTCTGGATTTTAAATAATATAGTAGATCTTTAAAAGGCACAGAGATCTTACCAATATCCTGCAATGTTGAAGGTAAAAATTCAATCCACTCAAAACCATATTTTATAATGCCTGCCAAATTCAATTTGTCATATTAGAACTGTGATGTTAACACTTCCAAATATAAAGCTAAATATGTTTGGTTTTTTTGTATGATTTAATTAATCCTATTCCAGTCAGATGGTTTAACCTATCCTGTTCTCTGAAGTGTTTCATTAACACAAAAGCAGAAAGTTGTTTTAAAACTGAACATCTTCATTCATTCACTCTATTGCAAACTATGGTCCTGATCCAGCGAAGCAGTTAAGCATTTGCTTAATTAAAAGCATATGGGGCATCCTGCTGAAGTCCGGGGAAATAGCTTCTTTTCAGTTCAGCAGGACGACTCATATGATTAAACTTAAATATTGTGTGAAGTGCATCACTGGATTGGGGCCTAAACAGCTAACTTTCAAATGTGTCAGTAAATAGATCAATGGATTTTGAGCATATCCTTGCTGTACATCTGCCTGTGTGCACAGATCAGGTAACTCTGCTCCTAGCAAATGTGATGTGCATGTAAAAGTGCTGGTTTGTGTGTCAAGCCATGTATTTTGCCTGTGCCTTTAACCACACAGTAAACCTTGTATAACTGTGAGGCTAAATTTGGAGGCACAGTTTTCGTGGCTCTTCTGAACTTGTAGTGAAAATGTATATACTGTACACTAATACGGAGAATACGTTTTAAATTTCACAAAAAATGTTTGTTTACAATTAACTTTATACAGGTAACATAATCTATGGGCATTCTTTCACCTCCAGGTATGGCAAACAACAGTTTAGAAAAGCACTAAGGGCCTGGTCATCGTTGAAGTCAATGGAGAACTTTCATTCAAATCAATGGGCAATTGTCAATTTGAAATCTACTCAGTAAAAAAGAGAGAGGGAGAGAGAAAGAATAAAAAAAATTCAGGTACTGCACCTGCCCCTGAGTTCACAAAACAGGGGGAAATGAGTAACCAAGCAGGCATACCTAGCAGAAATATTAATTATGCATACAGTGATCTCAGTCGCACAAAATAAACAAATTGAAAAAAAAAACAGAAACCCATATATTTTGCTTACAAATGACTTTCCATAAGAGTATTGTTACTTGCAATGCTGGTTTTCAGACAAAAACATGTTCCTTTAAACTGACACAACAAATTCTTCACCTTGACTTTTGTCTAGGATAGGATTTTGTGCAGTACTATTTTTGGAAGAGCTGATGATAATGTAATCCTAAACCAGATTAGAGATAAAATGTGGTATTGAACATTGTTGCTAACCTAGAATAATGCAGGTAACATATGTACAGCATACCTTTCCTGAACTGACTGAAGTTAAAAGTCAACTAGGAGCCTGATCTGCTTTGCAATTTCTATTTGAGTGTTTGGCTCTCACTTTAGGTGTGTTGCGTAATTTACGGCAGACTTTGTATAGCAGATGTCATGGTGAGTCACCAGAGTTATTAGACTTGTTATGAGTGCTTTGAGCCTGGTCTAAAGCTTGTTGAAGTCAGTGGAGAGATTCCCATTGGCTTCAATGGACTTTGGATCAGAACCTGTGTGACTAAGAGGTTTCCTTGCCATTATGTCCAAGGGCAATATTTTATTACTTACACATCTGTGTCTTCTTTTTTGTTGAATCCCTCTATGTGGCAGGCCAGGCGCATAGTCTGCACACAATTCATCAAACAGAATATCCAAAATACATGACTGCATACCAGCATCTGGGCAGAGTTTGACCAAACAGACACTTGAGAGTGGATTTCACTTACAGGCATGCGGAAATACCCTTTTTTTACCCACCCAGTAAGGGAACAGTGCAAGTTTGAATATGAAATGTATGCCTTATACTGTACTCATCAGCTGTAGCGCACTGGAAAGCCATCATCTGCACATACTGTTGCTATCAAGAATAAATTGCATCCATGATTTCATACGCACACTCTCCCCATTGTGCTGTATTCGAGTTTGCCTGGTTCTATATCTTCTATTGGATAAAGACTTTCACATGCTTCGAAGGAACTGAAGCTGAATCTTTACATCCTAAAAAGTAAAACACCAATTGCAAATCCCTAAAGGTGGAAGTGGTATTCCTGAATTTGTCTGCATATTAGCAGCTACAAAACAGCTCTGGAATTCCCTGTATCACTGGAGCTAAAATAAACTCAAGTATAGAGAATGCTTTTGTATTGGTTAGAGCTAGATGAATAGTTCATAAAGAGCAATTTACTTCAGGTCCAATCTGTGAGATATCTGAGTGTCCTTAACTCCCTGAGATGAAATGTTCAGCTTCTCTGATGTTTAGCATGTGAAGGTTTCTTCTCCAGGATAAATGATATGTGTGTGGATGCCAAGAAAGAAAAGTTGGTGTCCTCTGTAATCAGCCATACACCATTATTTGACAAAAGAAACCTGCCTGCAATATAAGCTTTTCTAAAACAAATCTAAATCATACCGGTATCCTTTATTTAAGCAAGATCATTTACCACAAGTTGTATCATCCCTTAACCAACACATATTTGCATTCACAGCTTTTGTAAAGAAACACATTGTACGACTTGCATTACATAACCAAAAATAGATTAACAGTAATAAAATAATCATAATAATAATGTGTTTTTATATACACACACACACACGTCGGAACATATATATTTTATATAAAAATATTATTTATATTTAAAATAAGTCACACAGATTTGAAACAACTGGGCGGGAAAGAAGAAAATCAGAGAGGTATGGCATTCCAGTTTAGTTTGATTTAGGACCAAGTTGTCAAAATGAGGCCTCTAATTTTGTGCACGTAATCATTTCTATGAGGGCCTCCATTCATGGTAATTTGCATGCACACAATATTTAAGCATGCAAATGATATGAAATGATGCCTGAGTATGTGAATAGTAAAATGTATGGGAGAAATCATGTGCACAAATGATTGTCTGAACAACATTGTCAGAGCAAAATTGGAAAATATGGCCTTAGATGTAAACATTACATTTTAAAAAGGTCAATCCATTTTTGAGGGCCTGATCCTGCACACATGGAAGTCAATGGGAATTTTTCCATTAATTTATACAGGAGTACATTCAGCTCCTTAATATGACCATATGCCTTTTAGAATGCCCTGAAATAGTGAATTAAAAAAACCACATATGAAGCTTTTCGAAAACGGGAGAATGAGGATCACAGCTTGGGCCCTTCAACTCCAAATACTTTTTCTGAAGGGGGCAAACTATCACAAAAGTTTTGAAAAATAAATCAATCTAGTGGTTAAAAGGAAAGGCCTGAGAGCCAAGAGATGTGGGTTCTATTTTAGCTGTGTTATCAGATTTCTGGATGATCTTGGAAAATCAAGTAACTTTAGTGCCTCAGTTTCCCCATCTGTAAAAAATGTATTGGTATTTACCTCCCAAAGCTGTTGAGATTAATTTCATTAATGTTTGCAAAATGCTATAAAGGGGAAATAATAATATAATTTTTTTCAGCTCAGAGAAAACATACTTCCCAATTTTAAACTCTAATTATATTCTGTTGTGGAATTAAATTATAAAACTACTGAGTTACATTAAAAGAAAAACTATTATTCATCAGAGAAGTTTGATGAAGAGAGGATTTATCCCTGTCTTATAAACGTCTTCCCTTCTTTCTTTTCCTGACAGAAACTAGCAATGTGGCAAAATTCTGCCTCACTGATATGGAATGCAGAGGAGACAATAATTCATTAATCTTCATAAAGAACTGCAGTAAACTGTCATAAAGTTTGGTTAATAAGCCCTGCAAAGCTTTGGGTGACATCCAGGCTCCATTTAAATCAATGGCAAAACTCCCATTAACTTCAATGAAGCCAGGATTTCTCCCTTTGTCACTAGGCAGGTTCTTCCTTATGAATCTGAATGCATTTGTTAAGGATATTGGGCCTGATCCAATGCTTTTGAAGTCAATGGGAGGCTTTCCGCTGATTCTAGTGTACTTTGGATCAGGCCCACGATGAAGAATGAGATTTAAAAATCCATATTAATGCAGAAATCACATGTGGGAAAGCCAAACTCTATGCTGATACAGGAGGCAACTTTCAGGGTGCCTAGGGATCTCATTTTGAACAGAAATTTTATTGCTGTTTTATTTGGTGTCTGTAACTTAGTAGTGAGCTAAGGAGGTGATTACATCAAAGAGATTGAACTGGGGGAGGAAGTAAGAGAGGGAGAGATGTGGCTTCCCAAAACAGCAGTACAGAAGGGATTTTTACTCCTCAAATACATCAGACAGTTGTAATTCAGGAGACCCCTAAATAATTAGGCTTTATGTGGCCATTCTGGGTGGGGTGTGAAGAGGATTGGCTCCACCTCCCAAGCAAGGGAGAGGCCACAGGCCCAGTACCCTTAACAAATGCATTCAGATTCATAATGTAGACCTGCGTAGTGACAACGGAAGAAATCCTGGCTTCATTGAAGCCAATGGGAGTTTTGCCATTGACTTAAATGGAACCTGTACAGTACTCAGCAGCTGCTACACCAGCTTATGGAAAGGAATAGCAGCCATAGCTCCTTTACATCTTCCTCTAGTATATGGGAATTCCTGGCCTCTACACCTAATATCATAGATCCTGCCCACCTAGATTTCAGGTTGGGTTATTGACTAGAAATAGCAGTGGTAGGACTGATGGATAT